AAAGAGCCTACAATTAGGTTCTAAATACACATGTGGCAAATAATGCAGTTATGAGAGGTCCCCATAGTCGGTTGCGCGAAGACAGAAATGATGATCCTTCCATGCTAACTGAAAAAAATATTGGATCCAGGTCCAGGCTAATGACCGTAATCCAAACCACTTCCTGACTTGTTGGGAGGATCTCGGAAAAGCAAATGAGCCTATTGGCCGGTTAGTTGTCGGCGCGGTTCTGCAATAATATTTATATAAAAGCATACCTTTGTCCCGCTCGGAACTGAAATCAAACGACCTTGGAGAGCTCTGCTCCGCAATACTCGCATGTGTCCGCACCAGACACATTTCCTTTCTTGCACTTTGGGCAATCCATCTTTGCGCGCAGGTTTGTCGATTGGACTTATCTAGAAGCGAATATTTAGTCTTTCCATTGCTATAACTTGATTGCAAGAAAAGGGGGGTTATGCAGATGTTGCTTTGACTTTTTCACTGGCGTTTTGTTTGTAGGTCACTTAGTTGGATTTTGGATTGAAAGATATGAGTGATGTAAATTGCTGGAATTTCCTGATGCTTATATACTTCTGGACACCGGATTTTTTGGATATAGAGGGACGACCGGAAAAATGGCTGGGGTTGGACCAATTATCTGATCACTTCTCCCATACCCTAACCGCGCAGTTCTGCCTCAAAAATACTTGCAGCCTCGACTCGACATCCAATCATATAATAAAGACGTATGTGATGGCATCGTGTTTCGGCCTTGAGCACCAAAGGGCTAAGTTAGAAAGTTTAATAATTTGGTGTCGGAATTAAGTTATAGAATAATCCGAATATTACATCAAAATCACTAAATATCAAGTTGAATTGATTCTAATAGATATTCTAGATATTGGTTCTGATGATGGCTCTGATTGGTTCTGAAACCGGCCTTTCCCCCCAAGGACTTCCCTCAAGCAAATCCTCTGATAGTCTGTGTGAGATTCTATGTAAGTCCTCAAACAACAGGAGGTGCGATATTCAAAAGCTCGTTCGCATATGCGGCAGCAGCCGCGGCAGCATATGGCTGCCAGCGCTTGTTTTTGTGACTGTCAGAGTAATCACAAATCCCTCGTATAACAAGGCATGGGAAATTGTCCACCAATCCTGCAGCCTCCATGTCAAAACAAAGAATTCCATGTTCCTGTCGGAGCGTCTCTCGCGTGATCCCATCCCTCATAACCCTATTTGCTGAGCCAATGAGGCCATAATGAACGACAGGTTCCCTCGTCTCTCGAGATCCGCGTGAGTAACCGTCGTGTGTCACACTGTTCACAGTTCTCTCCAGATTTATTATGATTGTAGTCTGCGTCGAATAATAATCATGTGCAGTGCCTGGAAACTGGAACTTGGGTGTCATCCTAGGGTTTGATTCGAGCATTTGGAAAATATTCACAGATTGAATTCCCCCTTGCAAGGTGTTCGGCATTGAGTTTCGCAACCGCGGACATTATCTGCGCGGGCTGCCTGTTGATTGTCCGAGTCTTGATAAAGTTGCCTTCTGTGATAGTTTTGCCGAAGTCATATTGGACCACTCCCCTAGTAGATGATTAGTAGGTGGTTATACTCAGATCCATGTGCCCCCCTATCATTATTAACCCACGTACCATGGTTGACTCCTGGGCAGCTAACAACGACATCTCCAAGATGAAGATCCTCGAGCAGATCATTGCTCAGCAGAGCTGGTGCTCCACCTCCAATCCCCACCAGCAGCCGAAACCGCACATTCAGAAAGCTGCATTGCAAATCATTGGCTGCTGTTGCATCAGCATGCATGCCCTGTGCTCCTGCTGGAAGACAAGCATAAACAACCTTATGTTCTCTAATCCGCCCGAGGGCATACGTATTTGAATCATCTCTGTCCAGTGGAGGAACTGGATATGTTTCATCTAACATCGCCACGGACACTGCGAATTCAATGGGTAGGGCACATATCCATCCCACGGTAAAACCATTGCTTTCGATTACTTGCCTGGTGGAATGGCGATGGCGCCGGCGGCTCGGGCATCGCTGGTGTCGCTGGCATCGCTGACAAAGACTGTGTGGTGGTTCTGGTGGAGGATAATGGCGGGAAGAGGTTCTCATTGGGCCACGTCGGATGGCTCCCGGTCTTGTCGTTTCCAGTCTTGCGGAAGTTGGACGAGCTGTGCAGCCAGTGTGTGCTTGGTTGACCCGCATCCCATCCTGGTGCCTTAAATTTTTATATATTTATTTCAATGGAAAAGGACCTGAGCGACGGGGGCATTCTATTATTTTTATTAGCAGGTCATTTTCTGAGCCAATGAACCTAATTCAAAGAACATTTGGTTTTATCCAACAGGAAGCTGTATCATATTAATGTACTCCGTAGTCCACCACCTAACACCCGTTTACACCTAACGCTCGCATTTTCCCATACAGATTGTCATAAATTTAATACTCATATCTCAACCACAAATTATCATAATAAATTTATAAGTGGTAAATTATAATTCCTTATTAATACATATCTTTGACAAAGTTTGCTTTTCTATCAGGCTATATTATATGATGTGGATTACATGTGTAAAAATTAAGAATATTTTCTCATATAAATGTATATGAGATGTATTTGAATTACTAGCTGTTATTTTCTCAGTTCTATGAGAAAAATTGATTATTTTATCCCCTCGTCTGGCCGCGAGGCACAATTAGCGCAATACCATATAGGGTGGTAATAACTACGGAGTACGGAGTATACGCTGCGTACAGGCTGATTAAAATTATCCTCTCCAGGGAGGCAAGTATATAATACGTGGCGTCTCGTCAAATACATCAACACTACGAAAGACAAATTCCACTTGCCCATAATTTACAGGCCATTGGTCAGGAGATATACCAGGTTCCTTGCACATTGGAATGTCGTCACTCCAACAAATTGATCTCCGACCCAGACTTGAAAGAAAATATTATCCAATTCGATGCACGCACCTCGTATTCGATTCTTTGCCATTCCTTTTGTGGTCTCCCTCCAAGCCTTCCAGGATAAAACGTCAGTATTAACCCCGTATTTTATTTCAGCATCACCTTCGTTGG